TGGTAAAAATTCCATATACTGTAAGTGGTAATTAATAACAAGGACCTATGTAACATCCTTTGCTATCGAACGTGACTAATTGTATGTAAAATATAACAAAATACATATAGTTATCAAAGCCTGTTTTGTGTACTACCAGACTGATTGACAGATGTATTATGTAATAATAGTGGTTAATATAAAATAATTGTGACCTTGGTTACTGTTTAACAGTACAGTTTGACCTTAGGTGACCTCTAACTACTCTCATACTATGCTATATCTGTATAATAATTGTGTATCTTCAGGGTTGGAACAAGTCTAATATAAGGTTTGAATCCAGGGACCGCCTAAGCTTGCACTCGGGATTTTGGAATGCAACCCCAGTTGTGGGAAGGGAGTCAATTGGGAGATTTTACTGTTTAAGATATAAATATTGTGCTTTTAGACCACTATTTTACAAACTTCAATCATAATAACTGTTGTTAAATTGGAAAATATTAGTTTTACTCCAACAACCTCAATTGGCATCTTATGACATGTGTCCATTCTTGACCAATGGGGTTGGGGGGGAGGTGGGGTGGACATTTTTTTATCCCACTTTTCAGTTCAAGATTAAGCAAATTATATAAGGAAGTTCAAAAATTATATAAAATTATACCTTCTCTCCTCCACAGTATATATTTTTTTCTCTTTATATGTACAGTATAAACATGGTATAAAGTTACTTAAATATCTTGAATCATTGCTACTTTCAGGATTTTTAAAATATTTCTTTTTTTTTTCTTTTAGCAATATTTAAATATTTTTTTGGGTCTAAAATTCTTGATATAATTTCACTAAGCTGTAGTAGTTTTACTTTTTTTCCTATGATTACGAAAATTATTTTAGGGTCATCAATCATTGAGCTCTATCAAGTTTCTATAATGATTCCTTATATTCAATACTAATAATTATTATTTTGTATTTGTATAATGTAATTATGTTATTTTAATAATTCAATTTATTATTATATTATGAAATTTTTATTGTTTTTATTATCAAATTTAGAAGTCAAATTCTGAAATGAATGTGCACATTTTGCTCCTAGTTATTTTACTTGAGCTTTGTTTTCTACTTGGTGGAAAATGTTAGACCCACTATTTTACTCATGTAGGTTTTTATAGTCCTTTGTTTCGAGAACGAGTAGTAATGATATTTTGCATTCCTACCCACATATCAGTGAGGTATCATCATTTAAAACAAATTTTTCATCATTAAATCAATGATGGGTCTTTGTGGGAGATATTAACAGTTCCAAATGGTATCTGCAGCTTGTTTCATTCAAATTTTTGTGATTTATGCATTTTTTGAATGTTATATTTGGAATAATTGAAATGTATTATTTAATTCAGACGAGAAATATTTGTTTTGCATTAATAAAATGTAAAATTTGTGCTTTACTATAAGAGACATGTGGTTTTGTATAACACATTGATCATCATTATCATCATCCTCCTCATAATGCATACTGTCAATATCAATATCACCATTATTTATCATCATCATCAGCAACATCATCATCATCATCATTTTCATTATCATAATCATCATAGTCTTTAAAAATATATGTTGCTAAGATTTTTAATTTATAATATTAGTTTTGCATTAAAATCTAAAATTTGTGGTTTACTATCAGAGACATGTGGGTTTGTATAACACAGGGATTGTGCTTATAGTATTTTCAGTAGTTTTCTAGTTTATAATAAAAAGAATGATACACAAGCCATAATCACAAAAAAATGTTCGCTATTCATAATTAAAAAATATGACTGTTAGCTAGTCATTGCATAAGGGAGTTCCACTAGTCATTATTTTAAGAAGAGCTCATTTCAACCTATGTTGCATTCTATTATTCATCCTCCTTATCATCTTCATCACTACCACCATCATCATCATCATCCTCATCCTCATAATAATGCACATTGTCAATATCAACATCATCATTATCATCGTAATCCTTTATAATATATACCTTTATGTATATATTAATAATAGAATTATTTTTAGTATTTATTATTTAATGTTATTATTTTATTGTTATTAATTTTTTTAATTATTATCAATTGTTATTATTATTACTTGTTTCAATCCGAAAACATAAATTAGAAAAAACTGAATAAATTTATGATACAAAACTCAGAAAGAAGTATATATATTGTTTAATATATTGCACCCTGAAGAATATTTAATAAAATGTTATGTTGTTATTTTTAAAATTACATTATTCATAATTGTATAGAAAATTTCTAAGGTTTTTTTTTTTTTAGATGGGTTAAATTAGTAAATTTCTTTTAAAGGAACAAACTTATATTGTTAGAAAGTTCAGTTTTATTGCTCAAAACTTGTACCTTAACTCTTTCGCTACGGCGAGCCGCTCACAGCGGCGCAGATAAAATATGCAGTTTGAGCGGAAAGCCGCTGACAGCGGCTTGTTGACATCACTGTAAACAAACGAGGATATCCCGGGGATATCCCCATGACGTTTGCATATATTATTTTGAACAACAATCTGCATGACCTTTGACCTTATTTTGAGCTGTTGAGGGCGGCTCTCCGTCTGAATAAAGGCTGAAACAGGCTTCAAGCAGGCATTGTTGTTTTGAGTAACATTTCAATGGCTGCGCTTGGGAGACGTAATTTAACTGCAGAAGAAGTGCATCGCAGACTTGCACAGTGGGATGTCAATGATGATGATACCCAGAGTGATAGTGATTGTTCAAATACTGCCACTGAATCACAAGATGACATGGATATTAGCGATGATGATAGTGTAGGCCTAGCTAGGCCTAGTCATGATAGTGATAATAGTGAAAGTGTGCATAACACTAGCACCAACGACAGTGACAGTGACAACTTTCTTATAATTAGACAGAGAAGGTCTCAAGGATAAAGAATATATATACTTTTGTATATTTTTGAAAGCCAATTAAAAACTTATAACGCTTTTTCTATATATCTCCTATTTTCCTGCATTTTATTCCATCCAAATATGGGAAATATGGAATAGGAAATTACGTAGTGAAAGAGTTAACTTCCACCCCATTAAATATACTGCCAGCAGTGATCAATTTTTCAACAAAAAAAAAACAACATTTAATACATACCAGGGTTAATAATTCTGCTGGTTATCTATCAATTTTCCGGTCCAGATCATGTTAATAAAACCAACTCTCAAAAAAGTAGCCATTTATTTTGTTTCAAGTGTTTATTAGATTTTCCTGGCATATATAT